GCAGTTGGAGGTAGAAGTAGAGAGAAATGTTTTTGGAGGGAGTAGTAGATGGTTGTAAGTAAAGAACACGAGTGGTAGAAGAACATTGTACATCGTCTGCCTGCACGCCGTTGTTCTTTTCGGACATTCTTCCCTCTAAAACACCGTGCGGTAATTCTATTCATAACCGTGCATGTCACGTGATTGCACGATAGAAAGTTTACCGACCAATAGAAAGCTTTGTTACAATGATTGCTAGAAAGCGCTTAGAGCTTTACACTTAATTCTGATGTCTTTGGCTTCATTTCTGCCGATATATGTTGCAGTGACATGAGCTTTGAGGTATAACACCTACTCTTCTATAATACTCAACAGTGGTGAAAACACTATTACCACGCTCGATGGTCGCAAGGCCGATAAAGCATAATAACATAAAGATTTAATATTTCCAAAAAACGAACACATCAGACTTTGGTCTGAATATCAGTGAGTTGCATGATGTATGGATATCGTCGCTGTATTGCCTCAACATCCAAGCCAACACAGCTTCCACTGTACGCAGCAACATTTACGGTATTCTCGAGTCAGGCATTTTCACCGCCTGACAACCATCATGGTGAAAACAATATTTTGGGATGGTTGTTGACACCCCCCTGAACAGTGTAACAAGATTACTCCTGCATATGCAACATATTTAAATTTTGTTGTTTAGGATTTCTTCAAAGTTAAGTTTGTGCTGTTTTCTCGATTTTAGCTATTTTCATCGGCCTTTTAATCAGCATTTCACAGCAGCTCGCGCAGAGCCCATAGAAATACATGGTAGAGTGGTGTACATCTTAAATAACAACGTGGAGCGTCTTGTGACTTAGCTCCTCCTCGAAGATTTTGATAGCTTGGCCAAGCGCATTGAAGAAAGAAGCAATATGATTGGCTGTTTGTAAACCGATTCTAAACTGTGAGGGCATTGTCATATACACATGGTCCTAACGAAATACTTCAAGGTGATAGTGGAGTGCTTTGCCGGGACATTCACCTTGAAAATTCAAGATGACATTGTAGGGCTAAGTAGGGATGCAATGTGATAAGGCTTATAACCTGTGATGACCATTTAGTTCCATTTATTTATGATGGGCGAGATACACTGAATCCAGTAAATGAATGGAATTCTGTTACACTGGTTACAAGGTAAATTCACAGCTATATATATGTTATAATTTATAGAGGTACCATATTTAATAATACCCCTTAATTAAAATGGTGATACATTTTTGGGATATATATATTTAATTGGAATATGTATTTATATCCATTACATAAAAGATAACAATATTTAAGGACAGGCTGATAAATCATAACCTTGTATAGGTTCATTGTTTGCAGTTCAGTCCATGGTTAGTTGATTTGTGATGAATATATATTCATTTTTGGATATATTATAAGTGGTATATATTATACAAATGTAATCTAGAGCAGTACAAAATGAACCTGATATGAGATACACCCCCCCCTCCCTCACAATGCAACATGTCAACACAGTAGTATTTTCTCCCTAATTCCTGGTACAATGTACAATCTGACATCAACAACACTGCTGGCAACTGCAAACAACATGCACAGCATATAGCATAGGGCATCAAATACACTCATCAACAGGAACTGCACGAAATGTCCCAAAGATGGCAGCTTGTATCAACATTCTTGCATAAGTTTGGCTATGAAGCATTTATTCTTTGTTTTGGGGATGTCTGGAGAAAAGGGGAGGATGTGGCATGTTTTATCACCAAAATCATTGTTTATTACTCATGCAACATTGCATGACATGGTATCAACATCACTCATGGTAACCGGAACAACATCACTCATGATAACCTCGAACAACATCACTTCTGGTAACCTGGAACAACATTACTTCTGGTAACCTGAACAACATCACTCATGGTAACCTGGGACAACATCATTTCGGGTAACCTGAACAACATCACTTCTGGTAACCTGGAACAACATTACTTCTGTTAACCTGGAACAACATCACTTCTGGTAACCTGGAACAACATCACTCATGGTAACCTGGAACAACATCACTTCTGGTAACCTGGAACGACATCATTTCTGGTAACCTGGAACAACATCACTCATGGTAACCTGGAACGACATCACTATTGGTAACCTGTTACGACATCACTTTTGGTAACCTGGAATAACATCACTTCTGGTAACCTGGAACAACATCACTTCTGGTAACCTGGAACAACATCACTTCTGGTAACCTGGAACAACATCACTTCTGGTAACCTGGAACAACATCACTTCTGGTAACCTGGAACAACATCACTTCTGGTAACCTGGAACAACATCACTCATGGTAACCTGGAACAACATCACTCATGGTAACCT